AGCCTGCCACATCTTGGCTTTGCGGCAACTTCTGGGTCCTCCCTGCGTCACCGTTCCAGGCCGAAGGGTCGGCAGCGGAAGCTGTGGAAGGACGAGGGCCGCTGGGAGCACGACAAGTTCCGGGAGGACGAGCAGGCTCCCAAAACCAGGCAGGAGCTGATCGCGCTCTATGGCTACGACATCAGGTCAGCTCACAACCCCGATGACATCAAGCCGAGGAGGATGCGCAAACCGAGGTGAGCAGCAGGAGCTGAGGAGCTGGAGCCCCAGCTCATCCCGGCGGGAGGCCTCAGCCCTTGTGCCAGGCGCTTCAAACGACGCCCCAAGGCGGGAAAGCCCCGTTGGCTTTGGCCCCAGGGTGGGACCTTGGTCCTGGGAGTTCTGGACGCTGCATCCCGGAGAGGGGTTCCCTGGCACAGCAGCACCTCTCACCCCAGGGGTTTCTTTCCAGTCCTCTGTACTGTTTTTCTTCCTTAGGTTTGGGAGTCCTCCTCAGCGAGACCCAAACTGGTCCAACGAGAGGCCAAATAAGCCCCCAAGGCACCAAGGTGGGGACAGCACTTCAGCTCCCCCGCGAACCTTCACCAACAGGAGCTCCGCAGGTACAGGGAGGATGCCCCCACCGAGGAACTACCCGAGGATGGGGGGCTACAAAGAGACCCGTCCAGGCTACCGAGCTTCAGAAGCAAGTGTCCAGCACCTGTCTCGAAACGGCGAGCAAGCGAAACAGGAGAGCAGCTACCGAGCGAAGCGTGCGGAGCAAAGCCCCCCGAGGGACAAGTCGCCCGAGATGGAAGCGGCGCACATCCACGGCAGCCCCATGAAGGAGGAGGTTGCTTTGGAAAACCAAGCCACGGCCTCTGATGCTGCGCAGCCACCACCAGACAGACCAGTTGAAAAGAAGTCTTATTCCCGGGCAAGAAGGACCAGAATCAAAGCTGGGGACGCGGGGAAGCTGGCAGACGAAGCGCCCGCTTCGGAAGGGCTGACTCCTGTGCCTCCAAAACCTGTGCAAGCCGAGACATCCCCCCCACCAGCCAAGAGCGGTAACTGGGAGTCGCCAGTAGAACCCAGCTTGGATGGACTTGAGCAAGAGATGACCCAAATGAATCTCACTGAGCAGAACTGGACGCCGGGGCAGTCGCAGTTCATGCAGCCCCGGGAGCTGAGGGGTAAGTGGGTGCAGCCCGTTGGGTTTTCCACTGCAGCCCCAGCCAAATGCAGTTCTGCCTTCCAGGAGTCAGAGCTGAGCTGTCTCTGCCGTGGTCCAGTCTCAGGGTAGGGACGTGGTGGCGATGCGTGCTGCTGAGAGTGCAGTGGGGACGGTGAGAGGGGACGAAACAGAAGAGAAAAAGGGGGAATTAAACATTCCAGCGTAGGTTCGTTGAATTAGGGCTGGGAAGGGCATCAGGGTGGATCCGTTCCCTCTCTCTGCCCTGTTTTGGGTGGAGAACGGGGAAGCCTCGGGGAAGCTGAAGGCCCGTGTGTGGAGCAGGCAGCAGGGACGTTGGGCGGTGTGGATCGCGGCTAGGTGGGCTGCGGCGGCAGGAGGCAGAGTCCGGGAGATGAGGAGCGCCGTGTTCGGTTGGCAGGGCACGAATAATCGGGCTCCTGTAACGTCCTGCCAGGAGCAGGGGGGACCTTTTCTCTGTTTGTCAGCTTATTTCCTCGCACTGAGGTTTGGTTGCCGCTCGGTAAGGCCTCACTGGGATCGGCAAATTCGTTTGGGCCTGGTGGGAGGGAGCAGCTCTGTCGGCAGCAGCCGGGCGGCTGAGGGAGGGGTGTGTGGCAGAGTCACCCCCGTGCCAGGACTGAGTTCTAGTTGAGCGTCCATGCAAGAGGGCGTTCGGGTATAATTATCTCTTTGCAGAATTAGAGTCTTTTCTGGGGAGCGCGAGAGTCCTTCCCGAGGGAAATAAAAGTGGAGCAAGGAGAAGAAAGCGACTCGCTGCTTTCATAAGCATCTCTTGAGGTTTAGGTCATGAAACCACAGGTCATCGTGTACCGATGTGACCGGTAAAACCTGTGTGTGAACAGACCCTCGGTCTCGACCGTGGACGAGAGTAGACGGGCTTTAAACGGGCCGGTAGAGCGGGAGTGCAGAAGTGCTGTGATTTGCAGCTGAGGTCATGTACTTTTTTTTTTTCCCAATGCTTAAAAATAAAACTCGTTAATAAATTTACAATGAGGCAGCTGTAGACTGCAGGTAGGAGGCCACTTTCTGTCTGTAAGAAGAATCTGTTACTCTACTGTCCCTCTGTTTCTTCCTAGCAGAGTTAGTTCTGGGAGGCATTTGGCGGGGTGAGCCAGCTGTCGGGTCGCTCCGCTGCTCAGCCTGTTGGCCTGTGCGAGTATGTGCAGTACCAGGGGTCTGTACCAGGGGTCTGTGGGCACTTTCGGTGCTTATCTTGTCCCCTGGGCTGGCCTGTGATCAGTTTGGCACCGTGGTTTTAAACGTGTGCCGTCATTTGGTTGTCTGGGTTGAAAGGAGCCCCCGATAAAAGCGGGTACACCCTGCAGAGGGTTTAAACTCCAGCTTGCCCAGTCCCGCGTGGATCCTTCCTTCTGCTCTTCAGAGATCCTCGTCTCGGCAGGAGCAGAGCTTAGATCAGGACCGGGATTTCAAGCTGATGACTTTTTTTAAATTTTATTTTAGCAAGTTGTAAAAGGCGCGGAGCAGCGTGGATGATGGTTGTGCGGTGGCACAACAGCTTCTAATTTGCACTGAAATATTTAAAGCTGTAACCTAAGAGAGGGAGTCGTTAGGAGGCTTCTCGTCAAGAAAGCCAGAGCCCTGCCTGTTGGTAGTACAGGAACGTCCCCGGGCTGCCGGCGCTCGCCCAGCCACCCTCCCGGCAGCGCCCTCGGCGGGTGAGGTGGCTCTTTGCTGGGAAACAGCTGCAAACCATAATAACCAGTTTGTTTCTTCCTCAGGGATTCCCAACCATATGCACGTGGGAACTGGGCCTCCGCCGCCGCCTCAGTTTAACAGGATGGAGGAGATGGTAAAGCGCGCGGCGCGGCGCGTGACTCCGGCTTTCGGGAGCGCGGGAGCCCGGCGT